AAATTATTTTATTTGAGTCAAACTGAGGACTATACCCCCAGGAGACACAGACTCAAGAAGCATTTGAATGGTATTCTGCCAGACTACAAAATAGGGGAGGCTACACAGGCAAAAACTACAAAATTACATAAGTTGTTTGTCAAGATTCAGGATTGGAATTTGACATAGCATTGTAAAATGATTATAAATCAATAAAAAATGTTAAAAAAAAACATTCAGGATTGGAGCTGGCAAGAAGGAAGGGTGCTTGTTAAGAAAGGATTGGTTGGGGTTCAAAATGGTTGTTGAGTTACAAGAGGAGAACTTGATCATCAGGTTACAGCTGGCAGCTGCTAGCAAATATTGTCTTGAGAACAACTGATGGTGTCCTTGAGTTCAATACAGTTCAGAAAATTCAAGTTCTCGGTGATGCAGGAATGTGTCTGAAACCACATCCACAATGTCCATCCACCTCCATTTTGAATGCCTAAGCCACAGTTACTTCATTTTTATTTTAAAATGCATTCCTTTCTTTAATGGTTAAAAGAGATGTACAATGCATGTTTGACAAGTCATAGACAGGCTCTTTTAATTAGCATAAAGTTTAAGCCAAATCATGTATAAGCTAGGATGACTTCCTTATGCCTCAATATTTGAAAATTTTTTCCATCACACAGATAGGCTGCAAGTAAAAAATGGAAAAAGCATACTATAAAAACTCTTTAAAAGAAAAAACTTGATGTAGTTATGTAATATCAGGCAACAGATCATTTAAGATGAGAAGTACTATATGAAATATGGAGGAATATTTTATGATTATAAGAGGGTCAATTCAAAATATTCCCTGTGGTGCATCCATGTGAAGGACTATTATTCAACCCTAAGAGCTATAGCACAATCAATCAAGCCATGAAAAGACATGGACGAACTGTTATGGACTAAATGCCCATGTTTCCCCCAAATTCATATGTTGAAGCCCTAGTTCCCAATGTGATGATATTTGGAAATGGTATCTTTGTGGGTGTTTAGGGTTAGATGAGGTCATGAGGATGGGGCCCTCATGATGGGATTAATACCCTTATAAGAAGAAACACCAGAGAGCTTGCTTTCTCTTTCTCTCTCTCTGCCAAGTGAGGACACAGTGAGAAAGTGCTTGCCCATTAGCCAGGAGGAGAGTTCTCAGCAGAATCCAACTATGTTAGCCTCCTGAGCCTGGACGTCCAGCCTTCAGAACTATAAGAAAATAAATTTCTGTTGTTTAAGTCATCCAGACTATGGTATTTTGTATAGCAGCCTAAGATTACTGAGACAAGAAACTCAAGTGCATATTACTAAGTGAAAGAAGCTCATCTGAAAGGTTTCACTCTGTATGATTCCAATTATACGACAATCTGAAAAAGACAAAACTATGGACACAGCAAAAAGTCACTGGTTGCCAAGGGTCAGAGGACAGGGAGGGATGGATAGTCAGAACACAGAGGATTTTTAGGGCAGTGAAACTGCTCTTTTTGATATGATGTATGCACGTCATATATTTGTCAGACCTCAAAAAATTTGCAACACCAAGAATGACCGCCTAATGTAAGCTATGGTTTTGAGTGACAGTGATGTATCAATGTGATTCATTGATTGTAACAAATGTACCAATCTGTATCACTCTGGTGTGGGATGTTGATGGTGCAGGAGGCTGTTCATGTATGGGAACAGGAGATATACCAGAACTCTATGCACTTTCTATTCAATTTTGCTCTGAACTTAAAACTGCCCTAAAAATTAAATTCTGTTTTACTCCCCCTGCACAATATTCTTGAATTTCTATGTATCTAATAACAATCCTTCAAAAGATAAGAAACAAAGTTGACAGAACTAAGAGAAGAAATAGAAAAATACACAATCATCACTGGATATTTGAACAATCCTCTCTCACTAAGTGTTAAACAAATAGACACAATATTCAGTGAGGACATCGAAGATTTGATAAACACAGTAACCAATGCCTGGTATTCAGAGGTAATTGGATAGATTCCTAAAAAAAGAAATTTCAAATAAATTTTACCATGCATACTTCAATCACTCAGTTGATAGAATGGAGGACTGTAGCATGCATGTTCTCGTGGATATACTTAGGTCTCTAAGGTTCAAAGGTGAATGCAGGTATTTCGCATACTACTGTCAAGGGTATGAACTCCACCTTGTTCAAGCTGGAAAAATGGACAGGATGAAAAATACACTTCAACTTAGAATGATCAAGGGAAACAGACCCTAAATATCAAGTGTTTATAATTTGCTCGGTTTCTGTAAATACAGAGCACAGTTGTAGGATTTCTACCCCCATAGTCATAGAGAGACAATAGTGAGTCTCTCCAAGTACAGTTTGGGGGTGGTAGTCAGGTTTATTTATTTGTATTTCATGGAAGTGCTGGGGATTGAACCCAAGACCTCCTGCAAGCTAGACATGCATCTCTACTGCTGAGCTATACCCTCTTTGCCTAAAAGCATTCTATTTTTGAGGGTCAAACAAAAAAGAAGCCACACAGTATTAGATGAGACTCCCTATTCTTGGGCTAAGATCTTGCAGGTGCATTGTTTCTGGACCTCAGACTTTCCAGGCTTCAAGTTTCTGAAGTTCTTTCACAGATGAGAAAGATTCCTGGCAGCAAGTTTCCAGGGTGACCTCAGTTGGTTAATGTGGACAAGTGCAGAGCCTTCCATGTGGCCCAGGAGAGGGTAAGGGTGCAAGCATTTCTCTTAGTTTCTCCTGCACGCTCACCTGTCATTATGTCATGCCCACCAAGAAAAATAAATGTGGTCAGAGACCTCAGAAGATAGCACCATTGATTCCATTTTTGTGTAGTTCATTTGAGACCACTAGTGTTTCTAGTGCTGGGCATTCTTGAGTCCACATTCTATCTATGTCCTAAGAGTTGTAGAGTGATTGATACCGTTCCCCAATATTGGAAGGACCTTTTCCTTGTCTTTAACAATAGTCTTCACTATTTTGCCAGGTGTTT